TTAAACACTTTTTTGGTTTCTACATGAATCCATATGTGTTATTTCATAGTTTTGAGGTCTTCACTGTTATTCTACAAAATAGTAAAAATAAAGAAACACCCTTGGATATTGTGGGTTACTGTGTGTAAGTAAATCCGGAAAAGTCTGATTTTATGTGTTTTCATTTCAGGCTGTAAGGCAAAGAAAGGTGAACATTTTGAAAGGGGGTGGTGACTTTCTATACCCACCGAGTTAATGTGCAGGGGTAGAGGTTAGCCTAGGTAATTTGTACATGTAGGTAGGGGTAAAGTGACTATGCATAGATAATAGACAGCGGGTAGCAGCAGTGTAAAAACAAATGGTGGGGGTGTCAATAATCCGGGTGGCCATTTGATTAATTGTTCAAGCAGTCTTATGGCTTGGGGCTAGAAGCTGTTAAGGAGCCTTTTGGTCCTAGACTTGGCGCTCCGGTACCTCTTGCTGTGCGGTAGCAGAGAGAACAGTCTATGACTTGGATGACTGGAGTCTTTGACAATTTTTTGTGCTTTCCTCTGACACCGCCTAGTATCTAGGTCCTGGATGGCAGGAAGTTTGACCCTCTGACGCACTACCCTCTGTAGCGTCGTACGGTCAGATGCCGAGCAGTTGCCATACCAGGCGGTGATGCAACCAGTCAGGATGCTCTCGATGGTGCAGCTGTAGAACTCTTTGAGGATCTGGGGACCCATGCCAAAGGGGGAAAAGGTGCCCTCTTCACGACTGTCTTGGTGTGTTTGGACCATGATAGTTTGTTGGTGATGTGGACACCAAGGAACTTGAAACTCTCGACCCGCTCCACTACAGCCCCGTCGATGTTAATAGGGGCCTGTTCGGCCCGCCTTTTCCTGTAGTCCACGATCAGCTCCTTTGTCTTGCTCACACTGAGGGAGAGGTTGTTGTCCTGGCACCACACTGCCAGGTCTCTGACCTCCTCCCTATAGACTGTCTCATCGTTGTTGGTGATCAGGCCTACCACTGTTGTGTTGTCAGCAAACTTAATTATGGTGTTGGAGTCGTGTTTGGCCACGCAGTCGTGGGTGAACAGGGAGTACAGGAGGGGACTAAGCACACACCCCTGAGGGGCCCCAGTGTTGAGGATCAGCGTGGCAGATGTGTTGTTGCCTACCCTTACCACCTGGGGGCGGCCCGTCAGGAAGTCCAGGATCCAGTTGCAGAGGGAGGTGTTTAGTCCCAGGGTCCTTAGCTTAGTGATGAGCTTTGTGGGCACTATGGTGTTGAACGCTGAGCTGTAGTCAATGAACAGCATTCCTTTTGTCCAGGTGGGATAGGGCAGTGTGGAGTGCGATTGAGATTGCGTAATTTGTGGATCTGTTGGGGCGATATGCAAATTGGAGCGGGTCTAGAGTATCCGGGATGATGCTGTTGATGTGAGCCATGACCAGCCTTTCAAAGCACTTCATGGCTACTGACGTGAGTGCTACGGGGCGGTAATCATTTAGGCAGGTTAACTTCGCTTCCTTGGGCACAGGGAATGGACTCGGAGCATGGACTCTACAAGGTGTCGAATGCGTTCCACAGGGATGCTGGCCCATGTTGACTCCAATGCCTCCCACAGTTGTCAAGTTGGCTGGATGTCCTTTGGGTGGTGGACCATTCTTGATACACACTGGAAACTGTTGAGCGTGAAAAACCCAGCAGCGTTGCAGTTCTTGACACAAACTGGTGCGCCTGGCACCTACTACCATACCCCGTTCAAAGGCACTTAAATATTTTGTCTTGCCCATTCACCCTCTGAATGGGACACATTCCCAATTCATGTCTCAATTGTCTCAAGGTTTAACATTCCTTCTTTAACCTGTCTGCTCCCCTTCATCTACACTGATGGAAGTGGATTTAACAAGTGAAATCAACAAGGGATCATAGCTTACACATGGATTTACGTGGTCAGTCCATGTCATGGAAAGAGCAGGTGTTCTTAATGTTTTGTATACTCAGTGTATATATGACCCTAAGCATGATGGGATGTTTTAATTGTTTAATTAAATCAGGAAACACACCTGTGTGTAATCACCTGCTTTCAATGTACTTTGTATCCCTCGTTTACTCAAGTGTTTCCTTTATTTTGGCAGTTACCTGTATCTCTTAGTAGTATTTGTTGTGTGTCGGTATGGTTTTTGTGGCATCAATAGCCTCTGAAATATTAGAAACCTGTACACTCGTCTGAGACCACATTGGTCCCCTACATAATAATATGTTTTAAGCCATCCGTGCAAGTACATGACTTGAAATATTTGTTTTTGTCTTTTCTAAGATGTAGTGATTATGTCAAAATAAAGAAATTGAGAAAAACACATTCTGAGCCAGAGCTGGGCCTAAATTTTTGCCAAACTGAGACATATTCATATATTGATAAAAAAGTTAGAGGGATTGTTTCCCTTCCAAATTCTTCAAATATGGACAACCAAATACTTCAACAGTAACTTTGATGTACCCTCTGCATCAAAATAACAACAATTATTATATTTCCAAAACAACGTGTGGTTTATGAGATCAGAATACTGCGGTTGATGACCATTCATTTTAAGGTAAATAAGTAAGATAGGAGGTTATCTCCCCAAGTTAAAGCTGCAATGTGTAACTTTTTGGGTGACCCGAACAACTTCACATAGAAATGTAAGTTATAGATCTGTCATTTTCATTGTAAGCAAGTCTAAGAAGCGGTAGATCTGTTCTATTTGTGCTATTTCTATGCTGCAAATTCTTAAGTTTCGTTTTTGCATCTTTTACTTTCGGTTTTGTACATCAGCTTCAAACAGCTGAAAATAAAATATTTTTGGTTATTGAAAATATATTTCACAGCGGTTTAGATGGTACAATGATTCTCTACACTATACTTGCTTGTTTTGCCACATAAACTGAAATGAGAGGAACTATGTTATTGGTAGCAAAATACAAACATTTGGATTGGTCAAGTTAATCAATTTAGGTATTTCAGACAAAATATGACTTCATTTCAGATGTATATACCATTAGACCATATTTTCCATAACATTTATATTTTCCATGCTTTTGATCCATTTTTATGTGATTTTTATAGAATTTCACAGTTTTCTAAATATACATGCTATTGAAGGCCAATGTTGCATTTTTGCAACGTCTCTAGAAGATTGCTCTACAGACTTGAAATTTAAAAAATTGATTATATTCGTAATCAGAGGCCTATTGAAAGTATTTCTGAAGTGTAGCCTAATAAATGTTTTCATCATTTGGATCTAGGCTTGTGTTGTTAACCTCCAGTTGTGTCTTTTTACCAGCAGGACCCATTTATTGACAATGATGACGTGACATACAGATTTTTAGATATTAGTCATTTTAGCAGACATTCTTATCCACAGCGACTTACAGTTAGTGAGTGCTGACATTTTCATACTGGCCCCCCATGGGAAACGAACCCACAACCCTGGTGTTGCAAGCGCCATGCTCTACCAACTGAGCTGTAGCTGCACTGTCATCCTAAAGAACATGAACCGACAGAAAGTACAGACCAGGGTAAGGCTGCTGCTGTTCAGATGAACATTTACATTTTAGTCATTTAGCAGACGCTCTTATCCAGAGCGACTTACAGGAGCAATTAGGGTTAAGTGCCTTGCTCAAGGGCACATCGACAGATTTTTCACCTAGTCGGCTCGGGGATTAGAACCAGCGACCTTTCGTTTACTGGCACAACGCTCTTAACCACTAAGCTATCTGCCGCCCCAACCTTGTTGTGTACTGTTACTTATCCAGCTGTGTATTCTAGCCATAGCTACACATTGTGTTATTAATTAAGCTACATACTGTAGAAGCAATAAAACTAAGGATTGATTGTTTAAACATAATGTCATGTCTGTATCACCATTATAACTTCTTTACACTATGAACTTCCAAACAATATATTCCATCATAACAAAATGATTCTCAGTCCTTCTTCACCAGTACTTGTCTGTCTGCCCTCTCAAACAGGCAGCAGCACCACCTGATGACAGTGTAGTCTACACCACAGTAGCCTGTTAGACATAGGGCAGTTTTGCCTTCCACTTACTGTATGTAGACCTACCTGTATGGAACACAATATGGTCTATACGTGGTATGTAGGTTTTAGCATTTACAATACTTTAAAAAGTGTAGTGTTTTTGCAGATATTTCTGTAGTATTTACTACTGTGTATTTTTGTGGATAATACTGTAGTATTTACTATAGTATTCTACAGTATACTACAACATTATATAGGACGTTCTACACATGATCAAGGGATACTACAGTGTGTAGAATAGTATTCTACATTATACTACAGTTTGCTACATAATTCTATAGTAGGTACTGTAGTATTCTAAACTGTACTCATTTTTTATGTAGGTTCTACTCAAAGAACAGACAAGCTGGGGAAATTCTAGAGGATACCATATTAACAATAAAAAATAATGTTTTTATTGTTGACACTTTTTTAATTGCTACCATATATGGAAATGTAACTGTGCATACCATGTGTTTCTTCAATAATAAAAAAGCAGAATAAATCTGAATAAAAATGTATGAAGAAACTGTTTTGAAGGAGAGCCTTAAATTTGCCCATAGTTGTTATCTAGCAATGAGGGGGGCTGAGGAACTGCTTCTGTGTGCTCCCTCATGATGAAATCAGGGGGCGACAGTTATCCTAGCGATTAGCGAGGGGCGCCAGCAACCATGAGGGTTGCCAGTTTGAATCCTGGGTCCAACGGGAAAAACCGGGCGGGATGTGAGCAGGCAACATGAGGGTTGCTGTTATTAAATCCTGGATACCATTGCTTGTTGTACCAAATGAAATAAAAGTTTTTCCCAGCAACATTTTGTTACAGTTCTGACAAAACTGGAAACATTGTAGCTAGCACCCAATTGAATTTCTAATAACAGGTCGCAGTTATACTTCACGACCGCCAGAGGGATTCAATGTTTTTCTGATAATTACAAAGGGCCGGTTGTCCGTTCATTATAACAGTTCGGGTAGCAACTAGTCTGGCATTTGCCGTTTAAATGTATCTCATTTCCAAGCATAGGTTGATCATTTATACATCATTAGATACAGAAAAATAATAATGAGTAATATATAAATGCAAAAGACATAATTATTTAATACGTGTTTAGTAGACATCAATTCACAAAACGATGTCAAATATCCTGTTGCTCGTCGAACACGTAAAATAATGGAATCCATTTAGCCACGTAGAAGCAGAACGAAGAGGCGTCTGAAAAAGGTTGGCTTTATAAACATTTTCTTTGCATTTGAACTATTGTCATGTCAGAAATGAATATCTATTTTGGCTATTTATTAAACCTTTTCATAATTTCACAATCTACAGTGATTTATACATTACACAACTTCGTGAACTGGTGTGATATCTGGGCGTAGAAAAATTATAGTCCCGTGTTAGCTATGTGGCTAATGAATATTAGCTAGCTATCGAGCAAACGTAACGTTAGGCTGTCTTTGCTTGACAGGTTGAATCTGCGAACTAGCCAGCAACTTGCCATATGTCTGTTTAGCTGGCTAGCTAGCTAGCTAACCACCTAGCTAAAGTTAGCTTGTGACACACAAGTTGTGTCGAGGCTGCTGCTGTCATTGCAGTTGGCTAGTTAGCAATAATATTGTTGGGTGGCTAACGTTACCTACAAATTGGGAAATAAGCAAGGTAACGAATGTGTGGTAAAGCTGCCGAATAGCTATCTGTTTCTATACAAGACTGGTTCGCCTTGTAGCTATTTGATTGCAATATGCAAAGGCATATTTGGTGAAGTTAGGTAGCTATATTTAGTAATGTTAACTAAATCCACTTAGATAGTTGTCTATATTAGTTTTTGCAGGCCATCTAATAATTTGACAAAGATCGAAACGTAGTCAATAAAGCAGTGAATTGGGAGCATAAACAGTGTGTGTCCCTTACTGTTCTTTACAAGTTTCCTTTATTAGCCCCGCACATACGTTTTTAATGATGTGCCTATGAGTACAAACTTTTCATCTAATCATTGAGTCATATAAAAATGTATTTTAACTCACATTTCACGATCTTACATGATGGTAGACAACGTTTTAGGCTTTAATTTAGAGATTCACAATTTGTTCATGGTTTTAGGTCAATTTCTAAGCATTACTGAAGAGGTGTTTGGGAGCCAAATTAACAGCTCTTTTAGGTGAACTGAGGCAAATTTTCCAGCTCACAGAAAAGACTTGGAATGCCCATCCCTAATACATTTGCAATGGTATTCATAAGTAATGCAGGCCATGGCGCTTTTTATTTGTGCTACATCTGCGCTACACCATCATGGTGGCAAATCCTGTCAGATTACGCCTAGTTTGCATTTAGATTACTGTCTTTGATCAGACTGAATACTTTATAATGCTCATACTAACTAAACCTTAATGTTATACATTTTCAGGGGAGCCAATTTCTTTGGGGGTGTTCTTCCTTGGACGCTTCAATTGCATTGCATTCAATCTTTTACTCTGAACAAACGGGAAGAAAATGTTTTGAAAGGATTATAGCTACACCCTGTGACTACCATATCCCTTCCATGGGCTCTAGTGCAACATCATTTGATTCTGTATGCAAATGGAATACCACAACTCAGTCATTGCTGAGATGGAGACAACCAATGGAGAAATCCATCAACTAGACCTGATACCACAGTCCAAAGAGGGTGGTGCTGATCCTGTGGTGAGCGACTCTCAGCTACTGAAGAAAGGAGTGCTGGACAAGCCGACAGCGTCGGGGGATGTTCTTAATGGTGAGTTGTTGCCCTAGTTAATGCTTTAGCCTGCCCTCAAGTGATGTGATTTGTTTTGTATTTTAATGTAGTAATTCTAGGGAAGCTGTCTGACTCTGACCTACTGCTGACTGATTTAATTATTCCATCCTCTCATCAAACAATGGAGTGTTCTTCCTCAACCAGTTAATTGTAAGAGAGAAATTCATTTCAAATGAGCCCTAAACTAAGTTAATAAAGCATAACTGAATGTTTGTATTATTTTCACAGGACATACTTGTGAAAATATTGTTATTGTTGTGGGGGATCTGCAGTAATAGGAACTCCTTATATGGAGGGAATTCCTCTGTCTTCCACCAGTATTCTTTCCAAGCTATGCATGACATGCTTGTGTGCGACCGGCCAGAGAAAAGGTTATTACTTGGCTGCCTCAAGTACAAAGAGAGATGGCCTATGTGTGGAATTGCAGGATTGTCTGGACACAGCTCTGAGCCTTGCCTCATAACTCACCCACACACCACTGTCACTTCATAGTCACCTCAACTGCACTAAGGCATATTGGCATGCCGTCGTTATTCCTACACGTCTCGCCTTCAATAAAAATGACAAAATGAATAGTATTAAACTGCCACTTCCAGTTCCTATAGAGCTATTCTGGCTTGACAAAGCTTGTTTGACCGGTTACCCGTGAAAGCCACAATTGACTTTAAGTCATTCAAAAGAGCCTAGCCTCCTAGTCCTTTTTTTAAACATCAAGTATATCACAATCCACTCTCATTGTGTTGTGAAATACAAACTGGATGGATGTATGTGGAATCTACCGTCTTTACTGACACGCTCCACTGTCAACCACCCACCTCACCCCACTCCCTTGTTGCAGGTTTTGTTAAGGCAGACGTGGTGCCAAATGGAGAACGAGTAGCAGAGGGCCCGCGGCCAAGCGCAGGAGGGGACGGCCATCCAAATTGCCCCCTGCCTCCTCCGTCGCACCCTGCTACCCAGGGCACCAGCCCACCTGTCAGCCCCCAGTCCAAAGAGCCATCCCAAGGTGTGGCCGCTATCCCACCACCCATGCTAGAGAAGTCTGAGGGAGCTAGTGCTGAGGGCCCTGTTCACAAGGGTGATGCATTGCAGTCGCTCAGACTGAGTATGCCTATGCAGGAGACTGAATTGTGTAAGCATACTGTAACCTGTACTTGCAGTGAGTGCCCCCCCCCCCGTCCCTGCCCCGTGTATTTTAACCACCTATTGCTCTGGGATGTTGCCTCAGAGACTGACTTGAGTTCCCCATCCCATATTTTAATTTCCTTGCCTGTGCTAACTACACTCCCATTAAAGAGATGGATCCAGTGGGTATCTGCTTTAGTGGTTTGAGCCCACTTACTTTGTGCAAACCCCGTGGTCATTTAATTGCTTGGTGCTTCTGTTGGGAACTTAGTGGCTGTATTTGAACTAATCCTTTACTTGTGTGGTTTGTTGTGAATGTTGTTTTGGATGATGGCCTAGGCTTACAGATACCATGATATGTAAAGTATTTTAAGTTTATTCGTTACATAACAGAATATGGCTTGTTTTGCCTCAAGCTTTTTGTTGACTGTGAAAGGCTAACCACTCCCACATAGAATGTTTACAGTGTCACATTAACTATTTGATAGTGTCACGTTCTGTTCCATTCATAGTGCATTCTGCTTTAAATGATGCTGCAATCAGGAAGTCCTCATGCTAACTTCTAAGTTGCACTGACTGACACCTCATGGTTGATCATCAGTGTACCTGGCCAATTGCAGTCAGAGAATCATCAATCAGGCTTATCACCTACTGTTTGCAAACTCACTAACCACGCAAGCCAAACTATTTTGTGTGTCACACTTTACTAACCTGAAAATAAGATCTGGGAGTGGACTGACTAATAGATGGACTGAGTCTGACTCATCTGGCTTTGTTAGGACTGGGTTGCATGCAGCTTCACTCCTAACCATGGTGGATGGATAACAATGTCATACAAGCACTCTCATTTCTAATTTTAAATGGCTCTGAACTGTAGGGACAAAGTAGTCTTACATTTACATCATTTAGCAGAAGCTCTTATCCAGAGCGACATACAAATTGGTGCATTCCACACGTAGTTGTGGTTTCCTTCTAAAATGAATTGTATGCTTGTATGACAATGTCCAAGGTATTGTTAGCCTATTCTGTGTTGAATGGGGGTGCAGTTAGGACCTTCTATTTTTTGTTAAACTTTCATTTCCTGTAGCTGCCAAAGAGCCATCACTGGAGCTGGAGAATGAGGAGAAGATCCGCCATGATGCTCGTCGACGCCTGGAGGAGCAGCTCAAACAGTACAGAGTGCAGAGGCACAAGGAGACGGTGAGTGTGTGAACAGTGTCAGTCACCAGGCAGACATTCATCAGGATAAAGCTGTCAGTTACAAGCTGCACAGAGTTGAATTGAAGCGAAGTGTTCCCCCTATTATTTTTGGCATGGCAGGCCTTCTTGCCTAGTTTTGTTGACGTCCACCACCTATTAAAATGATCCTCTATTAGTCTCAGTTGAATGGTCTGGTGTTTGCGGCCCTGAATGTTGATTATTGGTGCCCACACAAGAACAAGCTAGGGGAAACACTGGGCTGATGTAGACTACGTCTTCTGCTCATTCTCACGCCACCCCTCTCTCCTCTTCCAGTCCTACCGCTCTACCCCAAAGAGCCGCAGTGGGTTCAGCACTCTGGACCCAGACCTCATGATGCACCCAGAGGCTCTTCCCCGGGCCAGCACCACCTCCATGACCACCGAGTACTCCTTCCTGAGGACCAGCGTCCCCCGGGGACCTAAACTGGGCAGCCTGGGCATCCCCCCAGCCAAGGAGAAGAAGTCACGGTCACCCCGCCCCAGCAAGATCCACTCACTGGCCGACTACAAGACCCCCGAGCCAGCAGGGGGCACTAGTGATGGTGGAGGAGGCGGCGGCGTGGTCAGGACGTCTGCAGACTCCTCCCTGGGGTCCAACCTGAGCTCTGTATCCACCCTGTCAGAGGTCAGCATGATGTCAGAGGTTGGCTCCATGGAGATGACCTCTTCGGAGGCCCCGCTGGTTTCATCAATGTCTCTCCAGGACAACACCTCGGAGGTGGATCCCGGCAGCGAGTCAGGGATGGGGTCGAGGCCCGGTGGGGATGGGAATGACAGCGACAGCTCTACCTACAGCAGCGTGTCCACCTCCACCAGCGGCACTGGGACCTACGGCATGCTGGCAGTGGGCAGGCAGAGAGGAGGGAACTACACGGTGGCGGGCAGGGAGATCGTTCCGGAGGCCATGGGCAACTTCCCATCACTGAAGGAGGTGCTGCAGGCTGCCAGCGATGAGCAGCAACTGCTGGAGCTGGAGCAGGACAGGGAGGGGTCTGGGGGACCACGCAGCCGCAGGGACAGCTTCTCCAGCAGGTACACCTGACCAGCACACAGCTCTTCTGTAACAGAGACTGACTGGTTTAGTACTAGTAAATAACATAAGCACATTGCTGTTGCATACTCCAGCTAAATAAACAAGGACGTTAGTCAGCTTTAGAACATTGCTATTATTCTTTTCCAGTAATCATTTACCATTAATTGATGGAATTTGCTAGAAGGTTCCAGTAGCACTTAATTGTGCAATTTTTTGTTTCCTGCTCAATTGGTTAATTTCCTGTTTCCTACAGTGTGTCATTGGAGAGCTCTGTGATGGGACATGATGAAATGCTCCAGGTTCTGAAGGAGAAGATGAGACTGGAGGGCCAGCTAGAGTCTCTGTCTTCTGAGGCCAACCAGGTAACTAACTAACACAGTGTGGTGTGTCTATGATGGCTTATACTCTTAACATAGCTAAGGTAATTACCACTCAACTTACCACATGTTGAGACTTACTTACCTTCACTGGAATAGCTAGGCTAACACCCTACAATCCCTCCCTGCACAAGCCATTGGGAATACTGGAGTTCACTCCCTCACCCTCTCTCCACGTCTCCTCTCCAGGCTCTGAAAGAGAAGACTGAGCTCCAGGCCAAGCTGGCTACAGTCAACGCCCAGCTACAGGCCCAGGTGGAGCAGTCCCATGCCAGCCAGGAGAAGCAGAGCTCCCTCAACAAGGAGGTGTCCACCCTGCGCCAGAGCTGCTTCCAGCTGGAGAGGGCCATGGTGGAGCTGCAGGGCAACCTGGAGAGCAAGAATGCTGGCCTAGCCTCGCTGGGCAATGACCTGCAGGTGGCTGAGGAGCAGTACCAGAGACTCATGGGGAAGGTGGAGGAGATGCAGGAGAACGTCACCTCCAGGGACAACGCTGGTGAGTTGGATGGATCGAGAGCCTAGTATGGGCATCATGCTTTCATACCAGCATCTCCTCACAATAATATTAATACAATATTGGGGTATTTATGATTGCAATACATTTCTGTCAAATTCTGTGAATCATTTCTTATGGTGTTGTCCTCCTTCAGTCCAGGAGTTGCGTCAACAGATGGGTGGTCTCCAGACTCAGCTCCAGCAGGTCCAGCTAGAGCGCACCACCCTGCAGAGCAGGTTGAAGACCTCCCAGGCAGAGATCAACTCGCTGCAACAGGTCCGCCAGTGGTACCAGCAGCAGCTAGCGCTGGCCCAGGAGGCTCGGGTCCGGCTCCAGGGCGAAATGGCCAACATGCAGGTAAGGTTGTCTGTGAGAAGGGCTGTTTCGTAACATGTGTCTCTTGCTTCTATTGAGTTGAGGTGTTACGGAGTTGAGGTGTTACGGAGTTGACGTGTTTTTCCCAGGCTGGGCAGATGACCCAGATTGGTGCCTTGGAGCACCTGAAGCTGGAGAACGTGACTCTGTCCCACCAGCTGACACAAACCCAGCATCGCTCCATCAAAGAGAAGGAGCGCATCGCTGTACAGCTGCAGAGTATTGAGGTCTGTCCCCTTTTAAAATTGGGAAAATACGACAGGTTGTGTGATTGGTGTTTATAATGTGTTACGGTTGGTTGAAAAATAATACAAGATTTACTGACACAAAAAAACACAAGCAGTGTGTTATCTGACCTCTCCCCTCCCTCTGGCCGTAGGCTGACATGATGACCCAGGAAGCTGCCTACCAGCAGATCCAGGATGCCAAGAGCATGGTGGAGGACGACCTCCAGCACAAACTGGACGAGTTTGAGGAGGAGCGAGAGCACTTACAGAAACTGGCCAACACCGCCAGCTCACTGGAGAGGGAACTAGAGCAGGTAAATAATTAATTGTTGGTTTATGAAATCACTTATGGCATGTTTTCGGATTGTTCAAATTAAGGTAATTTGTCAGTCGGAGAAGTTTATTAAAATCAATGGAGGGGTTTTTACACACATCTATAAAAATATCAGGAGCTGGACAAAAACAAAGTCCAATACGTAGAGAAAAAGTAAATGTCCGCTCACTGTTTTGCTATTTGGGACAACAGTTGCCTAATGTAACCCCTCTCTGTGTCCCCCACAGATGAAGGTGACCCTATCGCAGAAGGACCTGCAGCTGGAGGCCCTCCAGAAGGAGCACCTGGAGCTGATGAGACAGCTGACAGCCACTCAGGAGAGCCTTCACACCAAAGAGCAGTCCATCAACCAGCTGGAGGCGCGCTACCTGGAGCTAGAGGCCACGCTGGCAGAGCTGCAGACAGAGACCAACGCCAAGGACGAGAACATCCAGTACCTGCAGAATGAGAAGATTGTGCTGGAGGTGGCCCTCCAGGCAGCCAGAGCTGATAAAAGTCAGCTGGACGAGGGGGCGGAGAGGCTGGGGGAGGAGGTGCTGGTGGCCTCCGATGTCCTTGATCAGCTCAGGCAGGAGGTCCAAGTCAAATCCTCACAGGTGAGAAACAAACCATGGAGCCAGAAGGTCTAATCCCACTCCTCTAAGGCTGTTGAGCCACTGTGTTTGATCTTAAGTAGAAAGTAAACGCCTTCTCCTTTTTGGTTTTAGATTGGATCTCTGCAGCAGGATTACGGCACCCTGAAGAAACAAGCTCAGAAATTGAAAGAGCAGTTCACGCAGCAAAAGGTGCTTGTCACTCCCTATCCTGTGTCCCTTGTTTGCTTTTGGGAGGATTGTGTGTACACACACATTCACACACAGGACTCGTCTCTTTACACCTCTTCCCATTTCCCACCCATCAGGTGATGGTGGAGGCCTATCGCCGGGACGCCAGCTCCAAGGAGCAGCTGATCAGTGAGCTGAAGTCCACTAAGAAGCGTCTGGTGTCAGAGGTGAAGGGGCTGAAGCAAGAGCTGCTGGAGGCCCATGGGGAGAAACAGAAAGCTGAGCTGGAGCAGAGCCGGATGCAGAAGGAGGTAGTCCGGGTCCAGCAGCAGATGAACAGCCTGGAGAACCACCTGCAGTCTGTGCAGACGGAGAGGGATCAGCTGGAGAATCAGATACAGGTACATGACCCCATCCTACACAAGCCTGACTTCCTAGCAGCTCTAGGTTTTTTCTAAGCTTTTTCTTTGCATTACTCTCATGGCAGTACTTGCATTACATATCCCATTGCCTTATCTGGCTTTCTTTGATAGGCATTTGATAATAATCAGTGTGTGTTTTGATGTCCCTCAACAGTCACTACAGTTTGACCAGAGCCAGCTAGCAGCAGTGACGGAGGAGAATGAGGGCCTGAAGAAACAGGTGGACCAGATGCAGTCCGAAGCCAGGAAGTGAGTCACACAACATTTCTACAGCCAGACAGACTTCTGTAACCAGCTTGGTTCCCATAGTAATGACCCAAACAGATTTACTATGAATCTGTGTAAATGGCATGAGAATATGAACGTGAATAAGAATCTCTCTTACTCAGACAGGATAATCTATTTTATTCAGATTGGTTAGATGTGCACTAATGTGTCTAATTGTTTTATTTTCAACTCTCAGGGCCATCTCAGAGCAGAAGGTGAGAATGAAGCGGCTGGGGACAGATTTGACCAGCGCGCAGAAGGATATGAAGGCCAAGCACAAGGCCTATGAGAACGCAGTGGGCATCCTGAGTCGCAGGCTCCAAGAGGCCCTGGCCGACAAGCAGACCACCGAGGCAGAGCTGGTCAAACTCAAGGCCCAGGTCTCAGACGGCGGAAACAACCAGGCCCTGCAGGTACATTCAGTACTAACCTTATAATCAGGACCCAGAGTTTTTCCTCATCACATGACAACCAGGAACTAGGGTCCAGAGTTTGTTTCTGGTCAGATCATGTGATCAGGAAAAACTTGTGGCCATACTAATAACAGATTACAGCACAACCGTAGCCAACTGTGATGTTTGAATACTGATCTAAACCTCTTATCCTTGTTCCAGGATAAGATTGAGGCTCTGCAGAGTGAACTCCAGGCTGTGAGTCACAGCAAGGCCATGCTGGAGAAGGAGCTTCAGGAGGTCATCTCCCTCACTAGCACTGAGCTGGAAGAGTTACAGGAGAAAGTAATGGAGCTGGAGGATGAGGTGAGACCAGTCTGGGCAATGACAATTAAATACACTATCCTGGCATCCAAACAGATTTCGCTACGTTTCACCGTTGCTTTACATTGTCTGGTTTAACCAGGCTATAAATACACACCACCAGCCCGATGATGTAAGAGAAGATTACTTTATTGTCCATTGTCCGCAAATGTCCAACAGAAATGTGTGTTTTACTATCCTAACCACTCTGAAAATTACTCAGAGCCAATGGTCCTTGTGCGTCTCAGTTTCCTTGATTGTAAAATCGTATATATTTTTCACCCACAGCTGCAGGAGGCGCGATGCTTCAAGAGGAGGATTAGACGACTGGAAGACGCCAACAAGAAGTTATCCCTGGAGCTGGAGCATGAGAAAGGGAAGTTGACGGGACTGGGGCAGTCCCATAATTCACTGCGGGAGCATACCAATATTCTAGAGACTGCCCTGGCCAAGAGAGAGGCCGACCTGGTCCAGCTCAACCTCCAGGTGAAAGGCTTCAATCGTACATTCTCAGTTACTTCTATCACTGATCAATTGAATGACTTTACCCATGCAGTAACAGTAACACCATTCTATGAGTCTGTGGTTGCTCTTTTTCATAAAAACGCTAACAAACGGATTGTTTTTTCTATTCTCTTCTTTGCCCTTCTCCACAGGTGCAAGCTGTACTAAAACGAAAAGAGGAGGAAGACCAGCAGATGAAGCAGCTGGTCCAGACTCTACAGGTCGCCTTGGAGAAGGAGAAGGCCAAAGTCAAGGACCTGAAAGAGCAGGTAAAGACGCCTAACCCGACCCAGCCACAACATAGTCATCATTAACACATTGTAACGCATTACACACATATACAAGCCCCTGAAGGAGACAGACTGGCCCAGCCACGACATAGTCTTATAAAGTCATTACATTACCACATTGTAGCATACTGTAATGTACTCCATAGAAGCCTTTGGAGACAGACTGTAAATGTGTGTTATGTCCACTAGGTGGCAGCAGCTAAGGCAGAGGCTGCGCACAACAGACGGCATTACAGGGCAGCCATGCTGGAGCTGTGTGAGATCAAGAAGGACCTGCAGGCCAAAGAAGAGCTGGTCAAAGCCCTGCACAGTGAGGCACACAAACTACAGTGAGTCTCAATTTGCAGTTTATAGTTATTAATGAATAAGGCTTGGAATGATGCTGCTGTGTTTAACAGATTTAAGATACGATTTTGATTAGCCTTATGAGTTGATGGAATCATTGGGGCATGCTCGGTCCTTGTATTTTAGGGAATAAACACATCTAACTCTAAGTAATCTTTTTGTTTTGATCTTATGTCTCTCCTTGATTTGAACCCTGTTTCACATTAACATCCTTTCCTTCCCCTACATAGGGCTCAGGATGAGAAACACTCTCAGGAGGTGTCCAGGTTCCAGGAGGAGCTGTCAGAGGCCCACTTCCAGCTCCAGATCCTCCAGAAACAGCTGGATGAACAGCTTAGCAAACAGCCCCTCACAAACCAGGAGGTAGCTAGCTATACCACACCACGCTATGCAATAGACACAACCATGGTCCTGTTTAGTAGGGAGAAAACGTTTTGAAACCGGGAGGTACTACCTGAACTTTTGCAATAAGAACACACATTTTTGTTTTGCTATGGTGTGCCCTACTGAACACAACCCAGGACCTTGAATAAGGAAGTTGTTTGTTGAAAAAGACATCGGTCACTGACTTGACTGTGTTCTCCCCCCAGGTGGAGGATTTGAAGTGGGAGGTGGAGCAGAGGCAGAGGGAGATCGAGGCCCAGAGACAGCAGCTGGAGCTAGTGGATCAGTGCAGCCAGAGGGAGCTGGACAGCCTGCAGACATCTCTACAGGTACACACACACAACCAGGGTGCTGAGGAGGACAGAGCTGGCTAGCGCCACAGCTCTAAACCATAGACGCATACTTTAGTATCACCTTAACTCTCTGTCATTGTTCATTGTGTTGCCATTTTGTGCATGACTTTGCCTTGCTCTGTGTTCTAGGGCATTAAGGTGGAGCTGGAGTCTGTGCAGGAGGAGCTGAGCAGCACCAGAAAGGATAAGTTCATGCTACAGGCCAAGGTGGGGGAGCTGAGGAACAGCATGAAGACTGTTCTGCTGCAGAACCAGCAGCTCAAACTGGACCTCAAACAGAACCGCCTCCGGAAGGTAAGTTACCTGGGACTGAGTTTTTGCTACCTGGCTGAGACTAAGTAGGAAGAACAGGGTTAGGTTTGGCACTTTTTTATTTTTACGTCAGTTGTATTCAGTGAAGGCTGTTGAGGGGAGGATGGCTCTTAATAATGGCTGGAACGGAGCGAATGTAATGGCATTTGATACCATTCCACCTATTCCGCTCCAGCCATTACCACAAGCCTGTCCTCCCCAATTAAGGTGCCACCAACCTCCTGTGGTAGTAATGGTATTTCAATATTGTTGGTGTGTTAAAGGTGCAATATGCAGAAAACTCTGCGGCTTTTATTGGTTGCTAAAATTCTAATAGTTCGCCTAATTTCAGTTTGTGACAAAACAAGCAATGCATAGTGTAGAGAATCATTTTCCCATCCAAACCGCTGTGAAATATATTTTCAATAACCCAAAATATTGTATTTTCAGCTGTTTGAAGCTGGTGTACAAAACCGAAAATAAAGGACGCAAAACTAAATTTAAGAACTGGAATCATAGAAATAGTGCACATAGAACAGATCTACTGCTTCTTAGACTTGCTTTCAACGGGTCGACCATAAAGTTACATATTGCAGCTTTAAATTGAGAAAGGGTAGGTAGAACATACAACTCATCCAGGTATAACATGGGTATATGTTTTGTGGATTGATAAAGGGGTATGAAAAGTTGTTACAATAAACACACTTGAGTGTATATTTAGTGCCTTCAGAAAGTATTCATACCCCTTGACTTATTCCACATTTTGGTGTTACAGCCTGAATTCAAAATGGATTTAAAAAAATAATATTCTCACCCATCTACACACAATACCCCATAATGACAAAGTGAAAACATGTTTTTAGACATTTTAACAAATGTATTGAAAATGAAATATCTAATTTACATAAGTATTCACACCCCTGAGTCAATACATGTTAGAATCACCTTTGGCAGCAATTACCGAGCTAACAGAGCTTTGCACACCAGAATTTTACAATATTTGCACATTTATTATTTTTACAATTCTTCAAGCTCTGTCAAGTTGGTTGTGATCCTTGCTAGACAGCCATTTTGAAGTCTTTCCATGGATTTTCAAGCCGATTTAAGTCTAAACTGTAACTAGGCCACTAGGGAACATTCAATGTCGTCTTGGTAAGCAACACCAGTGTATATTTGGCCGTGTGTTTTCGGTTACTGTCCTGCTGAAAGTTGTATTTGTCTCCCAGTGTCTGTTGGAAAGCAGACTGAATCAGGTTTTCCTTTAGGATTTTGCCTGTGTTAAGCTCTATTCCGTTTCTTTTTATCCTAAAAAAAACTCTCTAGTCCTTGCCGATGACAAGCATACCCATAACATAATTAATCCACCACCATGCTTGAAAATATAAAGAGTGGTACTCAGTGATGTGTTGGATTTGCCCCAAACATAGCGCTTTGTATTCAGGACATAAAGTTAATTTCTTTGCCACATTGTTTGCAGTTTTACTTTAGTGCCTTATTGCAAACAGGTTGCATGTTTTTGAATATTTGTTATTCTGTACAGGCTTCCTTTTTGCACTGTCATTTAAGTTAGTATTGTGGAGTAACTACAATGTTGTTGATCCATCCTCAGTTTTGTCCTATCACAGCCATTTTAAAGTCAACATTGGCTTCATGGTGAAATCCCTGAGCGGTTTCCTTCCTCTCTGCCAACTGAGTTAGGATGGACTCCTGTATCTTTATTGACTGGGTGTATTGATACACCATCCAAAGTGTAATTTATAATTTCACCATGCTCAAAGGGATATTCAATATCTGCTTTTTATTAAATGTTTACCCATCTACCAATAGGTGCCCTTCTTTACGTGGCATTGGAAAACCTCACTGATCTTTGTGGTTGAATCTGTGTTTGAAATTCACTGCTCGACTGAGGGACCTTACAGATAATTAATTGTATGTGTGGGGAACAGAGATGAGGTAGTCATTCAAAAATCATGTAACTTATTGTGTGACTTGTTAAGAAAATGTTTACTCTTGAACTTATTTAGGCTTGCCAGAACAAAGGGGTTGAATACTTATTGACTCAAGACATTTTCAGCTTTTCATTTTTAATAACAATTTAAAACATTTCTAATAACTTTGACATGATGGGGTATTGTGTGTAGGCCAGTGACTCAATCTCAATTCCATTTTAAATTCAGGCTGTAGCACAACAAAATGTTGACAAAGTCAAGGGGTGTGAGAACTTTCTGAAGGCACTCTATATCACAGTATGCCGAGTTTCCTTTTTGTGCTGTATTCCTCATTGAGCAGCAGAGGATGGAGCCATCAAACCCATCAAGCCCAGTGACCCCGGTGAAGATCCCAGACTGCCCTGTGCCTGCCTCCCTGCTGGATGAGCTGCTCAAGCCCTCTGCCTCTGTCAACAAGGAGCCCCTCAATAACCTGCACAACTGTCTGCGCCAGCTCAAGTAAGAACTGACCACCTATGTCTTCCTTTAACTTCTGGGAGTGGAAAACCTGTTATTTGTTATTGGACTTTTGATTATTATTGATATTGATTATTGTACTGCAATGTAGGGAGCTAGCGCGTAAGCATTTCACTGCACCATTTATAGCTGTTGTAAACTGAGTACGGATAATATGCTTTTGTAGCTCATGTTACTCAAAATAGCTTGTGTGTTTTCTGATAACCATAATGGAAGACAAAGAATAGGAATGTATGCATAATAGAAATCCTTTACTCTCAAAAGGTATTTGTCTCACATGTGGATGGTGTATTATAATTCTCTAATAGGAATTAAATGCCAGAACACTAAAGTGAATGTTGTATGTTTCCTGCAGGCATGAAATGGACAGCCTTCAGAAACAAATGGAGGAGCACACAGTCACCGTGCACGAGTCCATGATGTCATGGAATAACGCAGAGGAGGAATTGACTCGACTGGGGGTGCCGCTGGAGAATGACTCCATAACATCCCCCCCTCTAAACCAGGTGGACAGTAACGGCGGAGCAGAGGAGGAGGAGCCACAGCCATCGTAATGCAGCATCTTCTCAGGCAGACACACAGAGTGGAGTTTTATCCACAAGGGCACCTTTTTTTTTAACCTGTTTTTTCCATTTCTTATCAATTGCTGCCAACATTTGGCATTATTATCAAATCAGCACAGACAGTGGTTGGATAAAGTAATTTATACTTATAACCATAGCTTTACTCTTTATTTGGACTTTGTCTATTTTTTTGTTACGGCTGTCATTTGTCATATTTATTTATTTACAATTCAGGAATGACAATATTGAACCTTAAATGACCGTGACAACTACATTGTTAGTTTATTTACGCATACTGGTACTTTTGATATACTTTCTCATGCTCCGGTAAGATAAGTGAGACAGTTTAAAGCCTGCAGAAATTGACTATTGTTATAAGCATACTGTAGTCCCTCTTACTGTTCTTACATATCTCTGTGCCTGCGAATGAGAGGAGCCACTCGTTCCATAAACTTGTTGAAATCCAAATCGACCCTTAGTCCCTCCACTTAGACACACCTGTAGATCTGATTGGATAAATGTTAACAATATGGCAAAAAGTATACTAGGCCTATAAGAAGGCACGGTGAAGCAATAACCATATTCCACCGCCTCAGATTTACACAAGTTTATCAGGGTGTAGGCTAGGAGTTGGTTTGGGATTTAGGGAGTCGTCTGGTCAAATGCCCCTATGGCTTTCAAACTGTTTGTGGTGAATCACTATCATTCTCCTTTTAGTACGCCTCACATTTCAGTTCATTTCATTAACATCAATCTATTCAGTTTTGAATTGCTTCTCGTTCTTTTTTAAAGCTTGCTATCAACATATCATTGTGGGCTCTGCAACTTTGTGGAAAATTAATTCTTAACTATGTATGAAATTGGGAGTTTGTCTGGCTGGCTTGGACTGTAGTAATGTGTATGGCATAGCCTTAATGAATCTTTTGTATGCTGTTAAAGGACTAAATGTTATGAATGAACGTATCATTATTTCAATTGACAGCAGGTGTACAAGATGTAATATAGGTTATATTGTATGATTATGCTGTTTGCAGATCCAAACTGAATGGTTTAATGTTCAATATTTGGGTAGTCTCAACCGATGTTGCACAATTAATGAGAGAGCTTACTGTAACTGACTTTGAGGGAGGGGAAGGTGTAAGAGAACTTTTACGCAAAATGTTACTACTTCTATTAGTGAGATGCGCTCAAATGTATTCATTTTTGTTACTATGGTTTCATATTTACAGAAAATGCCTGCCCCTTAATTGCTTGTTTAATTCCTTTGCGGTTGATTTGCTGTCAAGGAAAACTGTTTATTCTTTGCAGAGGTTAATATAATATATACGAATATACTTCCTTTTCTCTACTTTTTCCTATAATTGAATGACTTTGATCATTATGTAATAGTGTGATGAGCAAAAACATTTGAGAATGATATGTTATGATATGCAACTTGCAAAGCATATTTATTCAAACTGTTAAAAGTCCAAATGTAGACAGCAATGGACACCATAAACTACAGCACATGCAGTTGTAATGTGACTGTTTTAAATGCCGATATACTCATTTCCAGACAACATGTATCTTGCCAGTCAAAGTAAATAGACTATTTTTAACCACACTGTAATAACATGCTTATTACATATCTGCAAAGGGAAAACCTATAGTCGAAGGGCAAGCTGTGTTCAGTTGACTGGTAATAACTAACAGCTCTCATACTGTGTTTTTGAAGAAGGGTTTGAAACAATCTGTTCGAAATTGACTTGTTGAATCTATACAACATTGACTGTATCTTCCAAGCTACCTTTCACTGTTGTCTACATATTTGAATACTTAACATTTGTTGGTACATGGAGCAGGGATAAAAGAGTTCTGTACATAAACCTTGCTGTATTTGCCGTTCAATCTTTTAATCTGCAAAGAGGGGCATAGACCTGCTAAACTGATTCATTGGGAGATTGTATTTATCTCATAAAGTTGCACTATTCATCAATGGTTGTCCATTATTTCATTCACTAACATTTGATAGGTAGGCTTTAGGATTTATAATTGATGAATCAAGTAGTCAATCAATTGATCCCATGCTTCATCCAGTTTTCGAAACTGTCTTTTCCATAGATGTCTTTTATATTTGGAGGTACATATCCAATTGTTTCTAGGATTTATATTATGCTAGGTTGTTTCCCAGACTGTCTGGCAACTATGGTTTGCAGTCAGACTGTTCACAGTACAGTCTTAATTTCGATCAGGCATTATGTTAGTCAAAACCTGGGTCCTTTCTCAACAGATTTTGAAAGCGTCGCGGTGAGGGCAGGTGGAGAGCAAGGAGGTGTGCATGCTAACGTTGATTATGTTATCATATGAAATACTGCGGAATAAGTTACATTTCCAAGTCCAAACGTACCAGTCGTTGCATTAACAGAATATATTAATGCGTTATCCAACTTGTTTACTAAATGTAGCACAGCAAACTGTTGTTGGTTGTATGGCTAGCTAACGTTAGCTAGCTGGTTCCTTCGTCACGCACTTGTCATAACTACACGGCTAGCTAATTTAGGTAGCTAGTTGGTGTTTTTTTTCTTAAGTATTAAAATGATTTTATGTTGGTGAGGGTATACTTTTCTCAGCATATCCAAAAATAACTATCTACCTACGTTATATGGAAAGTGGGTAGCTTGCTAGCGTCTAGGCTAAACTTCCGGTGTAACTAGCCAGCGAGCCAGAATACTAATTTAGCCAGCTAGCTAATGACGTGAGATTAATCAATCTTGTTTGCCTTGAACCCAGTTAGCGCACGGCATTTACATATAGGTGTCCAATGTCACTTTATTATTGCCTTTCAAGGTGCATTGCTTGCACAGTGAACTGTTTCTAGCGACACCATTACTAGCTTGGTTTGAACTGTTAGCTAACGAACTAACATAGCATCTCTCAGCTGAGAGCATGAACCCTCCCTTAGAAGTGAGCATGCGCACAATGTCTTGTAAACAATGAGACGATTCCAGACCTTGACTTGAGCATTGTGTCTGTTTCAACAGTTTATCTTTGCTGAATATTAAAATATATTTCAGATCATGAACGATAAGCAGTTAAGATGATGTCTGGTAAGTAGGTAGATACGACATTTGTCATCAAATCTGTGTTGAGATAGCTTGTATCGATAGCATCACCATGAAGACATGAGATATCAGATTGTTAATGCATGAAAATAGATATTAGGAATGGCACTTGGGCGTGAGCATGACTGAGATTGCATCGACGGAGATTGTAAATATTCCCTGATTTCTCTGAAATCGAGGACGTTTAAAAACATCGAAAGCAAAAGGCTTTTAACGTGCTTTATTCCGTCCAAATCTAGAATATGATCGGAGCTTTTTTTGTGTGCGAAGCTTTCGAATCGCCCCTTCCTTTCATGGCTTGCATGTTTTGTGAACCTGCAAAAAAAAACAAGCGGCACGTAGACTTGCGTTACTTCACTATTTGATCTAGAAAGGATGACGTGGAGTTTATTTCGGGGTTTTATCATATACAGAGTCAGGCTATGCTTTAAAACATTCATTTGACGGCAGAGACCTACTTATGGTCTGTCTTGAGGATCATGGGGAATAAGGTACACTTGTCAATTAGCTCAAAAGGCAGGGCTCCAGACTAACATTGAACTTTTTCAGTTGGTGGTACCAGCGACACAAAATAGAATACATTTGAGTCATTTTATAAAGTCATTCACAATGCTTTATTAAGAAGTGTAATAGACTACTGAGATGATGTATGTATGAAAAAAACAAAACATGTATGCACTAACTGTAAGTCGCTCTGGATAAGAGCCTCTGCTAAATTACTAAAATGTAAATGATATTAGCCTCCTGTAGCTCAGTTGGTGCATGGCACTTGCAACGCCAGGGTTGTGGGTTCGATTCCCACCGGGGGCCAGTATGAAAAAATGTATGCACTCACTAAAACTGTAAGTCGCTCTGGATAAGAGCATCTGCTAAATGACTAAAATATAAATGTAAAAATATTCAATAAATAAGTTGTTACATCTATCATGTCCAAGCAGGAATGCATGATTCAAAATATCTTGACATGCAACTTAATCCAGTGATTATGAATTTTGTGTTAATGAAAGTAGGGTCCAGAATTAGTAGATTTTTTTTGCCTTAATCTTTTTGTGCACTAATTTGGTACACTGCTCAAAAAAATAAAGGGAACACTAAAATAACACATCCTAGATCTGAATGAATTAAATAATCTTATTAAATACTTTTTTCTTTACATAGTTGAATGTGCTGACAACAAAATCACACAAAAATTATCAATGGAAATCAAATTTATCAACCCATGGCGGTCTGGATTTGGAGTCACCCTCAAAATTAAAGTGGAAAACCACACTACAGGCTGATCCAACTTTGATGTAATGTCCTTAAAACAAGTCAAAATGAGGCTCAGTAGTGTGTGTGGCCTCCACATGCCTGTATGACCTGCCTACAACGCCTGGGCATGCTCCTGATGAGGTGGCGGATGGTCTCCTGAGGGATCTCCTCCCAGACCTGGACTAAAGCATCCGCCAACTCCTGGACAGTCTGTGGTGCAACGTGGCGTTGGTGGATGGAGCGAGACATGATGCCCCAGATGTGCTCAATTGGATTCAGGTCTGGGGAACGGGCGGGCCAGTCCATAGCATCAATGCCTTCCTCTTGCAGGAACTGCTGACACACTCCAGCCACATGAGGTCTAGCATTGTCTTGCATTAGGAGGAACCCAGGGCCAACCGCACCAGCATATGGTCTCACAAGGGGTCTGAGGATCTCATCTCGGTACCTAATGGCAGTCAGGCTACCTCTGGCGAGCACATGGAGGGCTGTGCGGCCCCCCAAAGAAATGCCACCCCACACCATGACTGACCCACCGTCAAACCGGTCATGCTGGAGGATGTTGCAGGCAGCAGAACGTTCTCCACGGCGTCTCCAGACTCTGTCACATGTGCTCAGTGTGAACCTGCTTTCATCTGTGAAGAGCACAGGGCGCCAGTGGCGAATTTGCCAATCTTGGTGTTCTCTGGCAAATGCCAAACGTCCTGCACGGTGTTGGGCTGTAAGCACAACCCCCACCTGTGGACGTCGGGCCCTCATACCACCCTCATGGAGTCTGTTTCTGACCGTTTGAGCAGACACATGCACATTTGTGGCCTGCTGGAGGTCATTTTGCAGGACTCTGGCAGTGCTCCTCCTGCTCCTCCTTGCACAAAGGCGGAGGTAGCGGTCCTGCTGCTGGGTTGTTGCCCTCCTACGGCCTCCTCCACGTCTCCTGATGTACTGGCCTGTCTCCTGGTAGCGCCTCCATGCTCTGGACACTACGCTGACAGACACAGCAAACCTTCTTGCCACAGCTCGCATTGATGTGCCATCCTGGATGAGCTGCACTACCTGAGCCACTTGTGTGGGTTGTAGACTCCGTCTCATGCTACCACTAGAGTGAAAGCACCGCCAGCATTCAAAAGTGACCAAAACATCAGCCAGGAAGCATAGGAACTGAGAAGTGGTCTGTGGTCACCACCTGCAAAACCAGTCCTTTATTGGGGGTGTCTTGCTAATTGCCTATAATTTCCACCTGTTGTCTATTCCATTTGCACAACAGCATGTGAAATGTATTGTCAATCAGTGTTGCTTCCTAAGTGGACAGTTTGATTTCACAGAAGTGTGATTGACTTGGAGTTACATTGTGTTGTTTAAGTGTTCCCTTTATTTTTTTGAGCAGTGTATATAGGCCTCATTCAATTGGTTATAATTCATCACCTGAGGAAGTGGAAACTCAAAACACATTAGCTAGATAGCTAACTCTAAATATAACACCTACTGCAAGTAGCCATGGAAACAGTAAATGTAATGTCAAACACTTTTTTGCAATAAGGCCTAGTGTACTCGCCATGGCCGATGCGAAATTTCGCAAGCTCAGTATTTCAAAGCTATATCAGATATCTTGATTGTAAAACAGTGTGCTTTGAGCTCAATAGTGATAGTTGAGAACTATTATACCTTCAGAAAGCAGAGACCATCCTCTCTTTAATATGGACAACTAGTTGCCTCCAAAGTAGTTTTTTCCCCCCACAATTGCATTTTTAAATGTTATACAATCACGAGGGGCACACGAGTGGGGAGAGAGTGTGAGAGGCTCGCGCATTACAGCAGCCGGTCCCAGCGAAACAGGCAGGAACAGCGGCAGGGCAGACACTTTTATTACAGGAATCATGAGAGTAATGCACTTTACTGTTGGAACAAATTAATGGTTTTATCCGCCCAAAAAATAGGACGTTTTGATTGAGGTGACCAGGTACCTCAATCAAAATTTAAAAAAATTACTCGCACACCGAAGTCAAATGGTTGCACTCTGGAGCCCTGAAAGGGGTGTCTGTTTCATTCTTCTTCCTAAATACAGTCAAAAATCTATTTCCTAGCCATGCAAGCATTAAGAAGTAGCATTAGGCACATTAACCATTGTTATATTGTATTATACTGTCACTATCATTACACAGCAGTTTGTATCTGAATGTGATATCATATGATGTGTTCCCCTCTGACTGCGCAGGTAGCCTAGCTGAAGCATGGAGGTGGTTCTGAGCAGGCTGAGAGGGCTGAGTTCAGACGAGCTGCGAGAGGAGTTCACCAGGGCCGACCTCAAGTGCGGCCCAATCACGGCCACCACCCGTGCCATCTTCGAGAGGAAGTTGGCCCGCGTCCTGGTGGGAGCCGAGGGCAGCAGCAGCGCCACAGAGACGGACAGCAGCAGTAATGCCACCACTGCAGGCCCAGCCACAAGCAGCAGTGCAGCGGCCGCCAGCGCTGCAGAGCAGGCCAAACCATTGCCATCATGTGCCACATCAGCACCCACTGGCACTGACTCTCCTAAGGCTGTCAGTGATGAGGTGGACTTTGGTTACGGAATGGGGCTCAATCCCCCAGAGGAAGAGGAACTTGGCCTGACAGTGAAGTCAAGGACCCCTTGTAATATCAGTAGGGAAGACACTGGATCTCAGTCTACAGCAGAGTCTCCTTCAAAGATGGCACAAGTGTCACCAATGTTCTATGGAGTGTGTCCGTTGTGGGAGGATGTCTTGGCTAGAAATGGTAAGAAACTGTTATTTCACCTGGGCTGATGTAAACTATCCCTGCAATTTACACTTTGGGCTGTTAATCAGTCAAAAGTGTATTTGTCATTATATATTTTCACATACAGAAATGCAAAGGCAGAGAACTGTTGGCTGGATAGCTATTGGGTTGCACAGAGTGCAGTGCTCATCTTCTGTATGTTGACCATGCTGTCACACCACGCTAAGGTCCAATTCAAACATTTTATGTTGCTTCTCTATGACATGATGCTGTTCAGTGGTTGAGATCCATAGCACCTGTCACCTTATGGCTTTCTGCATTAGCATGGCCACAAAAACATTTGGAGTAAGAATTTGAACTGCTTTGCTTGTAATGTCGGCAAAATAACTGACCAATAAAATCCAGTTTACATTCTGGAATGTTTCTATTTGTAGGTAGATATAAAGAGCTATCTATAGCCTATCTAAACATACCTTTTTAATGTTTATTTTTTCTCAGTTCCAGAGAGGGCCCACGTGTATGGCGATAAGAAGGAGGCTCTTCAGGCTGTTAAGATGATGAAAGGAGCTCGCTTTAAAGCCTTCTCCAATCGAGACGATGCTGAGAAATTTGCCAAGGGAATCTGTGACTACTACCCCTCTCCCAGTAAATCCACCCCCTGTGTCTCCCCTGTCAAACCAGGCCTGGTCTTCTGCAAGGGTGAGTGCTGGGCTGAGATTGACAATTATTCTCTCCTTACAAAAAATACATTAGCTTGAAAAATATGCAAAGTCAGTGCTTTTCAAGGGTGTTTGGATGGCATTTCATTTCTTGGACTCGTCCAAATTTGAAACGAGTAAGCTGTTTATCACATATTCTGCTGACCTCTGTTTTAATCTCTCTTGTCTGTGGCACTAGACAACGTCCCTGTCATGGAGGTAGACACCATCAACAGGGAGAGGGCCAACAGCTTCAAGAGCCCTCGCTGCCAGGACCTGACAGCCAAGCTGAGGAAGGCTGTGGAGAAGGGGGATGAGGTGGCCTTCAGTGAGCTGGTCTGGAGCAACCCACGCTATCTCATCGGCTCTGGAGACAACCCCACTGTTGTGCAGGTGAGTCAGGGAGCAGATGATAATAATAATATGCCATTTAGCAGACGCTTTTATCCAAAGCGACTTACAGTCATGTGTGCATACATTTTTACGTATGGGTAGTCCCGGGGATCGAACCCACTACCCTGGCGTTACAAGCGCCATGCTCTACCAATTGAGCTACAGAGGACCATGATTACAGTGAAGTATCACAAAAATAGGTAGTCAACAACATAGACAGATATGATTCCTCCAGATATGACTCAGTCATTTTGTTGACCATGTTGTAACAGAACTGATCTATTACTCTGACAATTTAAGTATCAACCCTATTAGTTTTCCATTTTCCAACTGAATGAATGAATGTTTCTAACCACAGCCCAGTCTCAAGCCAGGCCCCTGTAGGAAATGGCTGTGACAAACCAGATGTGACCCAACACTGACCTGCACTAATTTCCTTCATCAATGTCCGCTGTGTGTTCCTAGGAGGGATGCCGGTACAACGTGATGCACGTGGCAGCAAAGGAGAACCAGCCGGGTGTCGCCCAGCTCCTGCTGGACACTCTAGAGAATCCTGACTTCATGAGGCTCATGTACCCTGATGACCTGGAGGCCATGCTGCAGAAACGCATCCGATACATCATAGACCTTTACGTCAATACTCCAGACAAAGCTGTGAGTCCCCTTGTCTCACCCTTTCTCCATATGTACCTGCTGATATATTTAATTGTAGGTTTAACACTGAAGAAGGCTTCTAGCCGAAACATTTGTGCAGACAAGGCTTTTAGCCGATTCCCCTGTGCAGACAAAATAATTTTAAGAAACTGAAAAATGAAGCTACTTTTTTGAGTGCAGACCTACAGTGTTTTTTAAGTTGAACTGTAAGCGACTTGTGTGTTCTGGATTGACTTGCCTCTGTTCATAGTGTATATGTGTAACTCTGGTTGTGTCTGTCCCAGGGCTTTGAGACACCACTCCACTTTGCCTGTAAGTTTGGTTGTCCAGATGTGGTGAATGTCCTGTGTTCACATCCTGATACGGATAAAAACTGCAAGAACAAGTATGACCAGAAGCCATCTGATGTGAGTTGCTCCAGATATACACTACTGGTCAAAAGTTTTAGAACACCTCTTATTCCAACAGTGTGCAAAGCTGTCATCAAGGCAAAGGGTGGCTATTTGAAGAATCTCAAATATAAAATATATTTTGATTTGTTAAACACTTTTTGGGTTATTATATGATTCCATATGTGTTATTTCATAGTTTTGATGTCTTCACTATTATTCTACAATGTAGAAAATAGTACAATTATAGAAAAACCCTTGAAAGAGTAGGTGTTTTAAAACTTTTGACCAGTAGTGTATAAATTTTTTAAAGCTAGCTACCGACTGCTCAGTGATCCACATTACTTTGGTTTCCTGACAGGTTATTTGTGAAAGGAAAAACAAAACCCAAGAGGTGAAACAGAAGATATGTGACTATTTGGAAGGTAAGTGCACTTCCTCTCAACCACAGGACTTGTGTTTTTGTTATCTTCCCTGTTTACCCCAAAGCACCTTCTCTTCTGTCACCCACAGATCGCTGTTATATACCCTTACTGAGGGCCACTGACAACTCTTCCCAGCCTGTCATTGGTGCTCCCTGGTCACCTGAGCCATCAGAAACTCTTCATCATTCGCTGGCTCCCAGGCTCACACGAAGTCCCATGGATCCAGTGATGTCAGTTAGGGCATTCGTTGGCCCACTCAGCCCATCTAAGGTAATTGTCACATTATGTCCTCTTTCAACTCGCACTCTTCTTTTCACCCATTTTCACACTTTATTTCTATATTTTTTTAACTCATTATATTTTCATGTGGGAAGCTGTTGTAGAAACACAGGATGTACAGTGCCTTTGGAAAGTATTTAGACCCCTTCACTTTTTCCAAATGTTGTTATTTTACAGCCTTATTCTAAAATGGATTAAAAATAAGAAATCCTCATCAATCTACACACAATATCCCATAAAGACAAAACGAAAACAGATTTTTAGAAATGTTTGCAAATGTATTAAAAATACAAAACAGAAATACCTTATTTACATAAGTATTCAGACCCTTTGCTATGAGACTCGAAATTGAGCTCAGGTGCATCCTGTTTCCATTGATCATCCTTGAGATGTTTCTACAACTTGATTGGAGCACCTGTGGTACATTTAATTGATTGGACATGATTTGGAAAGGCACACACCTGTCTATATAAGGTCCCACAGTTGACAGTGCATGTCACAGCAAAAACCAAGCCGTGAGGTAGAAGGAATTGTCCGTAGAGCTCCGAGACAGGATTGTGTCGAGGCACAGATCTGGGGAAGGGTACCAAAACATTTCTGCAGCATTAAACGTCCCCAAGAACACAGTGGCCTCCATCATTCTTAAATGGAAGAAGTTTGAAACCACCTAGATTCTTCCTAGAGCTGGCCGCCTGGTCAAACTGAGCAATCGGGAGAAGGGCCTTGGTCAGGGAGGTGACCAAGAACCCGATGGTCACTCTGACAGAGCTCTAGAGTTCCTCTGTGGAGATGGAAGAAACGTCCAGAAGGACAACCATCTCTGCAGCACTCCACCAATCAGTCTGGCCACCTTCCACCAATGTAGAGTGGCCAGACAGAAGCCACTCCTCAGTAAAAGGCACATGACAGCCCGCTTGGAGTGTGCCAAAAGGCACCTAAAGGACTCAGACCATGAGAAACAAGATTCTCTGGTCTGATGAAACCAAGATTGAACTCTTTGGCCTGAATGCCAAGTGTCATGTCTGGAGGAAACCTGGTACCATCCCTATTGTGAAGCATGGTGGTGGCAGCATCATGCTGTGGGGATGTTTTTCAGCGGCAGGGTCTGGGAGACTAGTCAGGATCGAGGGAAAGATGAACGGAACAAAGTACAGAGAGATCCTTGATGAAAACCTGCTCCAGATCGCTCAGGACCTCAGACTGGGGCGAAGGTTCACCTTCCAACAGGACAACGACCCTAAGCACACAGCCAAGACAACGGAGGAGTCGCTTCGGGACAAGTCTTTGAATGTCCTTGAGTGGCCCAGCCAGAGCCCGGACTTGAACCCAATCTAACATCTCTGGAGAGACCTGAAAATAGCTGTGCAGCGACGCTCCCCATCCAACCTGACAGAGCTTGAGAGGATCTGCAGAGAAGAATGGAGAAACTCCCCAAATACAAGTGTGCCAAGCTTGTAGCGTCATACCCAAGAAGACTCAATTCTGTAATCGCTGCCAAAGGTGCTTCAACAAAGTACTGAGTAAAGGGTCTGAATACTTATGTAAATCTAATATTTCCGTTTTTTTATTAAATTTGTGCAAATGTCTAGAAATATTTCTTTGCTTTGTCATTATGGGGTATTGTGTGTAGATTTTTTAGAATAAGGCTGTAACGTAACAAAATGTGGAAAAGGTGAAGGGGTCTGAATACTTTCTGAATGCACTGTATGTAAGATGAATTGGTGTCCCCCTTGCAGGCAGATGAGTTCCGCCGGGTATGGAAGACCCCCCCCAGAGACAGGGCGGGGCACTTCCAGCACATCCTGAAGTCTGACCCTGACCATGGAGCAGAGAGAGTGGGCAGGTACGTCTAGAAAGCCACCAGTTCAACAACAACAGTTAAATTAAGAAGAAGGATCTAGTGTATTTTCTGCCATTCTACTTCATCCTTTACCAGCTTCTCCAACCACAATGTTATGTTCTCCTCCCTCACAGAGAACTTGCCAGAGAGCTGGGCTACCCCTGGGCTGAGTACTGGGATTTCCTGGACAGTTTTACAGACCTGTCTTCTGCAGACGGCCTCCGTAAGCTGGAGGAGTACCTCAACAAGAAGGACTTCAGTCAGCGTGCATACGAAGAGGATGGGGAGAACAAAACCAGCAACCGCTTCAGAACCTCTTCCCCAGGTAATGTTATCCCCACCAGTTGCTATTGATAAACTGTATAGTACTGGTATTGAATTCAGATGATCAAGTTTGAGAAATGAGAGCGATGATACAGCCATCAATGTCTTGAATTGATGCTCCCATACAACTTTAGATTGATCAGTAAATGCATTTTTTGTAGCTTCACATGAACATTTTCCCCTCCTCTCTGCCATTTACAGGCAAGCCCAAGAAGTTCTGCAACTCCATCTCAGTGGGGGCCTTCCTGGACGAGGGTGATGACATCAGCCTGGAGGAGATGAAGAACCGTCAGAACACGGCACTCACCAGCATTACCTCCTCAGCGTGTTCTAAGGACAGTCTTGTGGGTGCTGTGGGTGGGCTGGGCCTCCGTGAGTTCCACATCCTGCCCGATGACCTCATCGAGACGGCTGCCGAGCGAGACCTCCTGTGCTCCTCCGTGTCAGAGAGCCTCCTCTCGCCCGTCTGCAACAACGGCCTGGGCCTGTGCCACTCCATGGGGGCAGAGAGGACTCACAACGGGGATATGGTGTTCCCCCGCGCCTCCTCGTCCCCCTCCTGCCTACTGTCGCCCATCTCCAACCTGATGGTGGAGTTTGAAAGGATGTCCCTGCAGGATGGAAGGATGTCCCTGCAGGATGGGGTGGACAGCACCACCAGAGACAGGGAGAGGAGGAGGAGCGGGGGACACAGGCACGGTGGGCACAGGGAAGGACTCTCTCGGGACGACCTGGCATCCGGGGTGGGCCGTCTCACACTGGGGGGTGACACCAATGAGGACTCATTGTTTGAGAGGGGCTGTAGCTCGGAGTCCGGGGACAGGGAGGGGGGCATGTGGAGGGGGACCTGCGTGAGGGGGGAGGTGGAGGGAGCGGTGGTGCTAGGGGTGGAGGACAGGGCCAGTGGTGGAAGCGGCAGCTCGGAGGAGTATTTGGTGGCTGAGGAGAGCTTGGAGGCTCTGGGCCCGAGGACTAGGGTGCTGGGGCCAGGGACCGTGTCAGGGCGCACACTCTGCGCCAGATCTAAGTCGTGGGATCACGGGGGGAGGGATCTGAGCAGCTCAGGATCATCCAGCTCCTATAAGTCCCTGGACAACTCCAAAGAGTTCCTAGCACGGACCCCACCTCGCATCAGAAGAAGAAGACTTTTCATTGAAGGGTGAGTGATGAGAATTAGGGTGATTGTTCTGAGGTTTTTAATTAAGCAATAAGGCCTGAGGGGGTGTGGTATATGACCAATATACCACGGCTAAGGGCTGTTCTTATGCACTACGCAACGCGGAGTGCTAGGACACAGCCCTTAGGACACAGCCCCGAGGTGCCTTATTGCTATTATAAACTGGTTACCAATGTGTAATTAGAGCAGTAAAAATACATGTTTTGTCATACCCATGGTATACGGTCTGATATACCACGGCTTTCAGCCAATCAGCATTCAGGGCTCAAACCACCCAGTTTATAATTAAGGATAATGTACTAGAGCTGACTGCAGAGGCGAGCTGTTATGTATTTGGTGGGGGAAATAATGATGCACAGTGGGATGACTTCCTGCTTACAGACATCAGCAAGCAACAGCAGAATTCAAATCTGCCAGCATGTTCAACATACCTCTCTTGTTTTGTCTTTGGTGTTTCAGGGATTCACCAACCAAGTTGGACAGAGAGGTCCTGTCGGCAATAGAAGCCACAGACCTCGACCCCTCGAAGTTCCCCAGCATTCAGAAATGGAAAAGCACAATGCAGACATACACCTCATCAGACATGCAAAGGTATGCATGTCTCCATGCATATGAACAGTTGTCACTGCCTGCGAGTTGCCTTGTAAATATGGAAACACATTGACGAGTGCTTAAAATTTCAGTTGCTATCGTATGAAAACAACCAAATATATGCAGACTGATGGTGGTATTGTTTCTGTTTGTCTTTCAGCTGGCCCAGCCCTGCAGTGGTAAAAAGCAGACCCAGGGTACATCAGGTCTCTCGCCTCACACACGGCTCTCCTGTCAGCAGCCTGGTGTCCCCTGCCGGTGGCCGCTTCAGTCCCGCCCGGCACACAGGCGCTCCAGACTTCACCAGCCCCAACCGCTACAGCCCTGCACATGCCAGCTACATCCAGCGCATCCGCCTCAGGCACTTCAACGACCCCTAGCCAACTCCCAAGCCCTGACCGACCCTAACCCCCCCGGCCAGAAACAATAGGCTACAGCCCTGCCACCATGGTGGTTAAATATGCCAGAGCTCAAAACCATGTACCTAACAAAATATGCACAAGTGTCTTGAAGATTTGTATTAATGATGTATGGTACTACTTCTATATATTGCATACATACAAGATTCTCAGTATGTCAGGTCGTGATGTACACTCAGACAAAAAAAAAGTCAAAAAAGAAACAGGTTTCCTTCAGTCTGTACTTCGTACTGTATGAGTGTTGAATTGACAATTAATATTATTCATAGTAAGTGTGACACACCTGTATCATAGCTCAGTCGACTTTTTGAATAACCAGTAATACAGCTGCACTCCCCAAAACATTGAGTAGATGTTCGTTAAACTTCAGAATAGAATCCTCGGTAGGATTCACTAACTGAAAATAGATGTTTTTAAAAAGTAAAAAGAAATGTCAATATTGTGAATAATTATTTTTGGAATGTCAGTCAGTAGCACAAAACCAACTTTTTATGTGTGTATTAAACCAACTGCCAGTTATTTTGTTTCTTCTAAGTTCAGGAATTGCCTTAATTTTCTGAAACGATGGACCAGTCAGTTAGCCACAACCTGTCCAGTTTGGTCAAAGTTGATGCATCCTGACAACAGCATAGCAACCACCATCCTACTGCAGCTCACCCAACAAATGGCTGCAAAGCAAACATGGGGGAAATGATAGTGCACTGAGTTCTTCCATGTTTTTATTTTGTTATTTAATTAATAAATAGAGATGTTTTCATTTTCCAGGTACCATTGTTTTTGTGCATCATGTAATTTCTGTATTGTCTTCACACTTAGCTTCTCTTTTAACGACTGTCGGCCTCACACAATAGCTGAAAGGTCAACCTATTGAACTGTTCTTGGCTTTTCTAAAGGTGTCTGAGAGTAATGCCAAGCTATACATGAGGTTACTGCAGAGTGCAACAAAGACATTTCTACTCATGTGTAATCAATGGCTGACAATGTGAATGTGCAAGAACCTGACATAGCTAAACTCTATGAAGATAGCTATCACCGTTAAAATAAGGTCAATTTACAAACTGCTGTAAAAATAATGGTCTGCCAGCCAGCAAAGCTGAATATTGAAATCAACAGCTGTCAATCCAAATTGAATAGGAATCACCCTTACTATATAGATTGTCACTCTTAGTATGAGAGATGTGAGTAATATTGAATGTGAATAAAAAATCTTGATTAGAGGCACAAACTATTTCATGGAGAGGATTGTATTGTCGTTCTCATGCTCACAGGTGACACAGATTTCGTTTTGGTACTTTGGTACATACTTTTTGTGCTTTGGCATTCTGTGCTTTAAAAAAAGGATTAAAACTTAAAATTTCATAGTGAATTTTCTCCTCTTCTGTATGCCCAGATCCTAATTTGCTTTCGACTAATCAATAAAACAGTTTCCTCATCTTTGAATTGTTGTCCTTTGAGCACTTTCTAATACTGCCTGAAATGGCGGTAGCACCCTTATTCTCTCTACTACTGTATATTAGTGCCTTTAGTGTGCCACTTCATAAACTTTTCAAATTACTAACAAATATTAAATTGTAATTTGATCCCTTCAAGCTTTGTAGTGCCAACACTAAGGTGCATCAGATTCGCTGTGAGAGACAATATCATTGCTTTTGTCCCAGCTTGAGCTAACGCTAACCCTATTTTTGGTGTACTACTGAGGAACACAAAACATTTACATGACCATGTCTCCTTTATTGCATGTTTCTACTGAACACAACACAACTGTATCTAAACCTCCTTAGAGGAAGCCTTGATCCAAATACAAAAGGACTGAGCATGATAAGCATTTACAGCATTACAGTAAATAAGCCATACAGATTTAGAACAACGATTTTGGTTTAAAAATCCTTCTGTCACTTTGTCTTTGAAACTCGCATACTGTTTACATTCATAATGAGTGTTGAGTGGGCCCTGGCAGTCATCATCAAATCAGCTTTTGGAGTTAAGAAGGGCGTGGTTACAGCAACAGTTCATTGAGAAACCTGCTTCAATACAAAATCCCCTTCAGTTTAATACAAAATCAAGACAGGAAGGGCACAACATATTCTGTATGTTGAGCAATTTTTTACATTCAGTGTGTCAAGGGAAATATAGTATTCTTTCTAACAAAGATATCTACATATATTTCAGGATGTTGTGTATCCCTGGACATTTTTTGAAAACATAGCTTGTCCAGAAAGTGGTCTCTTGGCACAACCTCCCCCAGGTATGGGGTAAGTTGAGTATAGGGACAGGGTAAGTTGAGCCGCCTTGGGGTAAGTGGGTAGTGGTACTGGTAGGTCAAAGTTGAATTCATGGAATGGGGGTTGTGGTATATTGAATATCTGAAATGTATGCCTACATTCAGATATAGATCTCGCTGTTCAATATCACTTACCCTTCCATTTCTTGACCAGTTATCTGGGACAGGGATGTTTCGCTGTGCCAAGTTCTCTAAATTTGAGGCTACTAAGCCCATGAAACTGGTCCGCGAGATTCTTGATATGTTTAGCAAGCTCATACTCCATGTCATCAGATAAGACCTTGTGTGCCTCCGCCACAGCCTCTCTTTCAAACAGGTACATGTTTGTTTCTTTTTTTTTGTCAATGTACCTCTTCAGTGTCATTCAGTCTATTTTTTCATTCCTTGGCTGCTCTGTCAAGAACCTCAAGGGGGTGCTAGATCCCTTCTTGCTTAACGTTTGTATACACAGACATGATGAGGTCTGCTCTGTAACAATACAAATTCACTATATTGAGTTCATATGCATGACACATTGCAAAAAGTATATGCATATCATGCATAAAACGGACAAAATGCAATCATAATTTGTATGAGTCATGGTGGTATTGGCTCAACTTACCGCAAGGCAAACATGTTGACTATATTAGCCCACACAGCTACAAGGATGCACTTTCATGCTAAGTTTAGGACCTCATATTGTAGCTTATAGAGACCCCCAACTGCTGTATAAAACTATCTTAAAACGATCTACTTAGGTTTAGATACAAGCATCAGCTGGCCTAGCGGTTAGAGCGTTGGGTCAGTGACTGAAATCCAATACCAGAGCCGACAAGGTAAAAAGATCTGCTGATGTGCCCTTGAGCAAGGCACTGAACCCTAATTGCTTCACGGTCGTCGTTGATCATGGCAGACCCTGGCTGTGACCCCACTCTCTGAGTGTGTCTCAGGGGGAGGTGAGATACGCAAAAAAACATTTCCAAATCATGTGTATTAATACACACTTGTAGTTGTGTGAAATAGGACAAATATAAGTACCCTCCAAATTATCATGAAACCTATAACACAAATTCATTTGACTTTGTGAAAATCCATTTTTGGGCCCTAACTTGCTTACCATATGGTTTCTTCCTTCACAGACTTCATGAAATGATGCCCTCTTCCTAAATATTTGGTCACATGATTAATTTTGTGTATGGTTTCCTTGAAACAAGGGGTGGCTCAACTTACCCCACTCTCCCCTAGTTGGCAAACGATGGCAGGGTAGTTGATCACAACAAAACACCACAGCATATCTCATAAATAACACAAAAAGTAACTTTCAAGACACTTAAGCAGAAATCAAGAGCCATTCAGATCACCCTGCGACCAACATCTGAACCTCTCAGAGAGAGAACGAGTGAATACTGTAGGTGGAACGTGGTCAGGTCCGTGTGAGTCTGTCCGGGGGCATGAACCCTGAGTCTCCCAGTGTCCTCAGTGCCACCCTGCCGCTGGGGCGCACAGTGAGCCAGGTGATGGTGCCGTTGTTCAGCCCAATCCTCTGCCAGCCCTCCGGGGGAAATTGCAGGGCCCTGAGACACAGAGAGAAAGAGAGAGAGTCTGTTAGAGCAACCGATACACCCTGGTCTAACAAATATACACATCTGTCATGGGATGTTGGCAAGCACATCATTATAGTCACGAAATGCAAAAGATATAAGACAGTGGAATTGCTACACAAAGTCATCATGATGATTAGCATCGTCTTGTTGAATGAGGCTTTGCTCCAGCTTCAGCCTGCCTGGGGAGACCAACACACCTGCACACAAAATAGCAGATGACATTGGCATGACAGACGATGATCTCATAGCTGTCCTCCTTCTGCTTGGGGTCAGAGCGGTGGATGTAGCGGCGGAAGGCAGCCTCGATCCGGGCTCCATCCTCGCGGTACTGCTGTAGAGCGGTAGAGAGGTCCACAGTGGTCGTGTAAGACGAGGGTTTGAGCTGACCTCTGACCTCTCATTGGATTGCATTGAATTATGTATTCTCATTGCATTGAATGATGCATACAAGCAGACAGCTGTAACTATACTGAACAAAAATATAAACGCTGAACAAAAATATAAATGCAACATGTAAAGTGTTGGTCCCATTTTTCATGAGCTGAAATAAAAGATCCCAGAAATCTTCCATAAGCACAAAAAGCTTCATCTCAAATGTTGTGCACAAATTTGTTTACATCCCTGTTAGTGAGTATTTCTCCTTTGCCAAGATAATTCATCCACCTGACAGGTGTGGCATATAATAATAAATAATATGCCATTTAGCAGACGCTTTTATCCAAAGCGACTTACAGTCATGCATGCATAAATTTTTTTGTGTATGGGTGGTCCCGGGGCTCGAACCCACTATCAAGAAGCTGATTAAACAGCATGATCAATTCACAGGTGCACCTTGTACTGGGGACAAAAGGCCACTAAAATGTGCAGTTTTGTCACACAACACAATGCCACAGATGTCTCAAGTTTTGAGGGAGCGTGTAATTAGCATGCTGACTGCAAGAATGTCCAATAGAGCTGTTGCCACAGAATTGAAGGTTCATTACTCTACCATAAGCCACCTCCATCATCATTTTAGAGAATTTGGCAGCCTCACAACCGCAGACCATGTGTAACCACGCCAGCCCAGAATCCCCACATCCAGTTTCTTCACCTGCGGGATCATCTGAGGAGGGGTGGAGCTGAGGAGTATTTCTGTCTGTAATAAAGCCCCTTTGTGTAATGAAAAACTAATTCTGATTGGCTGGGCCTGGCTCCCCAGTGGGTGGGCCTATGCCCTCCTAGGCCCACCCATGGCTGCACCCCTGCCTAGTCACGTGAAATCAATAGATTAGGGCAAAAATGAATTTATTTCAATTTACTGATTTCCTTCTATGAACTGTAAGTCAGTACAATCTTTGAAATTGTTGCATGTTGCGTATATATTTTTGTTCAGTATAGATAACAAGTGAAAGGGACACTGAACAGGAGGTAATATGACAGACACACAGCCCGTTGAGAATCCATAATGGGCGTCTCTCACCACGGCGTTTGGCTTCCAGTGGGTGACAGGAGGCACAGGTTCGATGGGCGCCCCTTCTCTTAGCAAATCACAGCTCACCAGCTCTACCCCTAAAACAATAACATACCAGAAGATTAAAGTTAGTTAGCGGTGAGTAGTGAAATACTTATCTATCATGATTAATGAAATCATTTTGACATCTGAAAAATCAGAGATCAAAGCTTCTGAGGCTGTTATCAGATAGAGCCTTGGTATCAGGTGATGTAAATAACATGTATAACAGCAGGTGGCCAGCCCTCCTCCTGAATAGCTATTGGATCTGCTGGCTTTTGCTCCTGCTCTACACAAACACACCTGATTCAACCATATCAAATCAAATCAAATCAAATTTTATTGGTCACATGCGCCGAATACAACAGGTGCAGACATTACAGTGAAATGCTTACTTACAGCCCTTAACCAACAGTGCATTTATTTTAAACAAAAAGTAAGAATAAAACAACAACAAAAAAGTGTTGAGAAAAAAAGAGCAGAAGTAAAATAAAGTGACAGTAGGGAGGCTATATATACAGTAAAATAAAGTGACAGTAGGGAGGCTATATATACAGGGGGGTACCGTTGCATAGTCAATGTGCGGGGGCACCGGCTAGTTGAGGTAGTTGAGGTAATATGTACATGTGGGTAGAGTTAAAGTGACTATGCATAAATACTTAACAGAGTAGCAGCAGCGTAAAAAGGATGGGGTGGGGGGGCAGTGCAAATAGTCCGGGTAGCCATGATTAGCTGTTCAGGAGTCTTATGGCTTGGGGGTAGAAGCTGTTGAGAAGTCTTTTGGACCTAGACTTGGCACTCCGGTACCGCTTGCCGTGCGGTAGCAGAGAGAACAGTCTATGACTAGGGTGGCTGGAGTCTTTGACAATTTTGAGGGCCTTCCTCTGACACCGCCTGGTATAGAGGTCCTGGATGGCAGGGAGCTTTGCCCCAGTGATGTACTGGGCCGTACGCACTACCCTCTGTAGTGCCTTGCGGTCAGAGGCCAAGCAGTTGCCATACCAGGCGGTGATGCAACCAGTCAGGATGCTCTCGATGGTGCAGCTGTAGAATTTTTTGAGGATCTGAGGACCCATGCCAAATCTTTTTAGTCTCCTGAGGGGGAATATATGGTCTATGGATTCAGTTGAATCAGGAGTGTTAGATTCAGTCTGGGAAATCCTTCAGAATGGTAGCTCTCCAGAAGGAGATGTGGTCACTCCTGATGTACAGTACTGGTTAGTCTCGTGGGACAACACAAGTATGTCTCTGATTATTGTATATACTCCGGCATACGCCTCAGCTGTAAAGTCTGTCGCAAAGTCTGCCGGTCTACGGCTCTGACCTGGGAGGTATTTGCTGATGATGTTGGCCGTCTCGGTGGCCCTGACCATGATGTCATACTTTAGCCCCAGGGCAGCCAACCGCTGACCAGTAAACTCAGCCTGCTCCCGACCTGCAGAACACCAACACAGTCCCAAAAATTAGCAGACTGCACTCGTGAACCACTTTCAGCACCTCTATTGAGTGCTGCTGAATATACACTTATTATCCAATAAAACTCAACTGTTGAGCAGGAGAGTAGAGTGGAGAACTAGGTCTATGTTTCAAGCCTTTAGCAACATGAGTACACAGCAGCACAGGGTACACAACCTAAAGGGGTGAGGATTCTCTCATGGTCTCCATTGCCACTCAGGTTGTACTGGGAGTGTCTGATGAGGAGGATGTTGCGTGTGGCTTTGGGTTTGGCTTTGTCCTGCTCTGAGCTTGGGTCTTCACTGAAGATCTCCTTCTTCTTCCCATGTGTCAACAGTGCAGACAGGTCCCGCCTGGTACAGTACAAAGGGAACAAAGCAGTGATGTGTGTTGTGGTTTATTTCTCTTGATAACATGCAAAGAGAAGTCACCTGTCAGGCTGTCAACATGCTGTCGCTGGCTGCTAATATCAATCAATCACACTGACTCAGTCAGACTAAACTACTTGACCCACATGATCAGATCAGACCGCCCTTGGTGTTTTATAGTAGGAGGCATACTTATCCCAGTTGAAGTCCCAGGCATGTCCAGTAGATGCAACAGTGCGGTTCCCCGCTGGCTGTGCAGCTTGCAAAACATTGAAAAGGCTCCACTGAGCGGCTCGCGTGTGGCCGAAACAGCCCGGGTATTGAGCTGCGGCAGCCGCAACAACCAGCACTGCTGATCCGCCAGCGAACCCACACACTATTTTAATTGTCCTCCGATATGACATGTTGTGAAAACCTATCGGTTCTGTGTAGTTTGCATTTGCTAGGTAGCGAGCTAACTTGCCAATGCCGCCCAACGTGTGTAGTAGAGAGATTCCTTTCAATAACTGAGCAGCCAGCGCGGTCTCGAGGAGCTGTTAATCCTGACCTAGCTAGATCAGCCTCTGATCTGGTCTATGGATTTACACACTTTCTATTTACATTTACATTTTAGTCATTTAGCAGACGCTCTTATACAGAGCGACTTACAGTTAGTGAGTGCATACATTTATATTTTTTCTATGTGCAGGAACAGAGTGAATACCCTCCAACGACTCTTTAATCGCTAGCTAAAAATAAATCCAGTCAAAGATTATGAAGCTAATTGGAATCACTTAGCTAACTCAAAAGGAGAACACACAGTGCTTGGAACTATGGTGTCTCGCTAGAGCCAAAGAACCAGCTAGCGCAGATATTACGATACGCGAAGGCGCTGGACAAAACGAACAATGATTCACCATTAGAGGGCGCGCAAAGCCCATGAAACAGATGCCAAAGACTTGAAAATTCAGCAGGGGAGCAGAGAGATCGTGGAGGTCCTTTTATAATACATAATGTGTATCTCTAGGATTTTCACTCTCTACCTTCACAGTGGGGCCAAAGTAAAAATGAATGTATATATAACAGAAGTTGCATAAAACGATAGTGGTAAGTGACTGGTTTAGATGTGCAACATTTATTTGTATTTTTATGAAATATATAAAATCCGATTTGAGGGTGAATAAAACTTGTGGCCCCTGGCTGTAACCTAAGCATCCCATCACAGTCCTCTTCGTTTTGCATAGAAGTAGGTCTAAAATATATTATATTGTTATCGTCAACCTAGGCATAGAGGCTCCACCTTTCAAGCGGTTCTGTGACCTCACTCGTGGGCTGGATTGCTAGAGTAGGATTTCTAGTATTTCGGAGCACAGTATTTTTTGCTTGTCTGTCTTTGGATCTGTGTGCGTTTAACGGTAATAAAGACAGATTGGCTGAATCGTTAAATGTAGATATTGCAGACTGGATCTTTACATCTGTATACCGTCTCCAATTGGAATAAATAATTGAGGAATGTGGAAATTACAGAATGCCCAACAGCGTTGGAAAGAGATTTAAACCCACCAAATACATCCCGGTATCTACTGCAGCCACTTTTCTTGTGGGATCCACCACCTTATTCTTCGTTTTTACGTAAGTTTTATTGTTGTTTAAATGCTTCTGTTAATAGTCTACACATAGTAAAGCGTCCTCATTAGTATCAGTCCTAGCCTAGGTCCGATGATCTGGTGGTAACCAATGGCTATTACTGATAGAAGTTTTTGTTGGAGAGGTTCAGACTGCTTTTTCGGGTCGGACCTTTATGCTGTTATGAATGGTTTTATAAAATGTTTTGACTGCACCACACAGGCTACCGGCTATTATTGTCTTGTACTCGTTTTGGTAACAATGTTTAGGTGTGTCGAGGCATTATAGTAGAAACTCCTTTATTACATGTAGGCCCACTTTAGGCTATATTTGTTTTCCAAATGCATTTCTTTCTAGAATAAACGTCATTGGACACATAGCGGGTATAGGTTGCTATGAAGCCGTAGTCCGCCATACTTGCCAGCTAATTGCTCCTTCTTTAGTTCTACGGGCACAGCAAGCAAGCAACACAGCTGCGAATTGTTATATTGTTGCAACTGGTAACTTGGATTATGGATGAGTTCAATATTGAATAGGAATACTGCCTTGCCTTCTAAATCTACATCGAAGTGTTTAACGGGACATTTACTGCTGTCACTCAAGTGCATGTGCATGCGCTCTGAAGGTTGTAGTGTTTCAAGCCGTACCACTGCACCTTCATTATGGAAATGTGTGTGGTTTACAATGAGAGACGTTTTTCTGAAGGTTATTTTCTCCACCCAGATTCGTTTTGTTCTATTTGTTTTGTTCTAGTCACACACACAAACACACACACACAAACACACATATGGTCCCACATCATGGATTGCATTCCTGATTGACCCTGTGATCTACTTCAAGTGTATAGTTTATTGACAGGCTAATAATCTGATTGTAACCGTTGAAGTACAGCCCAGGCCTGCTGTAAATTTGAATCTGCACATAGATTTACAGCTGAGTCTATTTGCTTATGTAGACTGGTGGTTTGACTGAACTGGTGTGATATATTGTCTTATGTGGTCAAATAGGTGGCACTTTCTACTCTGGCTGGTTTAGAGAGACTGTAAAGTGATGCTTTGCCACACCACATGACATGTTATTTGTCCTGCAGCGGTTGTGTGACTCATATGTTTTGCTAAACGGAACATCAGATGTTCTCATGCAGTCATGATGTGATAAATAAATCATAAGATGCAACATTATCTCATGTGATGATTATGATATCAGCCTTTTTTCCATGACACCATTCTCCTTCATGCTGTTAAAAGCAGCTGTTTAAAAGTAAAACTGGTGCATGTAATTATTAGCAGACAACAAATAGAAAATCATCAAAAAACAACAACAGCAGCAACCTGAACAGCAACGTAAAGCAAATAGTTTCAAATGTTGCCCCGACTAAACTATTCAGGATATATCATTTACATTTACATTTTAGTCATTTAGCAGACGCTCTTATCCAGAGCGACTTACAGGAGCAATTAGGGTTAAGTGCCTTGCTCAAGGGCACATTTACGTCATTTAGCAGACGCTCTTATCCAGAGCGACTTACAAATTGGTGCATTCACCCTATAGCCAGTGGGATAACCACTTTACAATTTTTATTTTTTAATTTTTTTATTTGTATTTTATTTTTTTTGGTGGGGGGGGGGGGGGGGGGGTAGAAGGATTACTTTATCCTATCCCAGGTATTCCTTAAAGAGGTGGGGTTTCAAATGTCTCCGGAAGGTGGTGAGTGACTCCGCTGTCCTGGCGTCGTGAGGGAGCTTGTTCCACCATTGGGGTGCCAGAGCAGCGAACAGTTTTGACTGGGCTGAGCGGGAACTATGCTTCCGCAGAGGAAGGGGAGCCAGCAGGCCAGAGGTGGATGAACGCAGGCCCTCGTTTGGGTGTAGGGACTGATCAGAGCCTGAAGGTACGGAGGTGCCGTTCCCCTCACTGCTCCATAGGCAAGCACCATGGTCTTGTAACGGATGCGAGCTTCAACTGGAAGCCAGTGGAGTGTGCGGAGGAGGGGGGTGACGTGAGAGAACTTGGGAAGGTTGAACACCAGACGGGCTGCGGCATTCTGGATGAGTTGTAGGGGTTTAATGGCACAGGCAGGGAGCCCAGCCAACAGCGAGTTGCAGTAATCCAGACGGGAGATGACAAGTGCCTGGATTAGGACCTGTGCCGCTTCCTGTGTAAGGCAGGGTCGTACTCTCCGAATGTTGTAGAGCATGAACCTGCAGGATCGGGTCACCGCCTTGATGTTAGCGGAGTACGACAGGGTGTTGTCCAGGGTCACGCCAAGGCTCTTCGCACTCTGGGAGGAGGACACAACGGAGTTGTCAACCGTGATGGCGAGATCATGGAATGGGCAGTCCTTCCCCGGGAGGAAGAGCAGCTCCGTCTTGCCAGGGTTCAGCTTGAGGTGGTGATCCGTCATCCATACTGATATGTCTGCCAGACATGCAGAGATGCGATTCGCCACCTGGTTATCAGAAGGGGGAAAGGAGAAGATTAGTTGTGTATCGTCAGCGTAGCAATGATAGGAGAGGCCATGTGAGGATATGACAGAGCCAAGTGACTTGGTGTATAGGGAGAAAAGGAGAGGGCCTAGAACTGAGCCCTGGGGGACACCAGTGGTGAGAGCACGTGGTGCGGAGACACCTTCTCGCCACGCCACTTGGTAGGAGCGACCGGTCAGGTAGGACGCAATCCAGGAGTGAGCCGCGCCGGAGATGCCCAGCTCGGAGAGGGTGGAGAGGAGGATCTGATGGTTCACAGTATCAAAGGCAGCAGACAGGTCTAGAAGGACAAGAGCAGAGGAGAGAGAGTTAGCTTTAGCAGTGCGGAGAGCCTCCGTGACACAGAGAAGAGCAGTCTCAGTTGAATGACCAGTCCTGAAACCTAACTGGTTTGGATCAAGAAGGTCATTCTGAGAGAGATAGCAAGAGAGTTGGCTAAAGACGGCACGCTCAATAGTTTTGGAAAGAAAATAAAGAAGGGATACTGGTCTGTAGTTGTTTACATCAGTGGGATCGAGTGTTGGTTTTTTGAGAAGGGGTGCAACTCTCGCTCTCTTGAAGACGGAAGGGACATAGCCAGCGGTCAATGATGAGTTGATCAGCGAGGTGAGGTAGGGGAGAAGGTCACCGGAGATGGTCTGGAGAAGAGAGGATTGGGTCATGTGTATATATATATATATATATATAAATTAGAGGGAGGCTGAGAGTGTAGCATGGCTTTTGTACTGTGGGTTAATGGTTTAGATTAAAGGAAACCTATGGACTTGGCTTGCCCTGTTGCCCAGCTATCTAGGTTGTAGCGTCAAAATCAACTCCCTGGTTCCTCCCTGGCTGTAAGAGGCTTTGCATAGACAAATGATCAGATGAAGAAGTAGGCTAATGCTGTAGCCCTGATGTGTTTGTTGTTTGCAGTGGCACCACAGTAGTTGTTACAGTGCAGTGGAAAACTTGTCTCAGGTCCCTCTCCAATCTTCCAGACCTCTGTTGGTTTTGCTGACCAGCTTCTCTATTGCAGCAGGGGTTCCAGTCAAGCTGTGTTCAGGGCTAGATAGATGGGCCTATCATTGACCCCCAACAGATGGGTATGGAGGGTAAGGATTAGGATTTTACTCTGGCGTTGCTTTGCTTTCTGATTCCTCGTGCAGCTAAATGTTCAGAGGTTTGGGTCATGTATAATGGAACCCCTGGGGTGGAAAAACTGTACAAGTCCACTCTAACATTTGTAGGGCACACATATGATATACACAATACACCACAATGCTCCTCAATACACCACAATGCTCCTCAATACACCACAATGCTCCTCAATACACCACAATGCAAAACAACATTCCACAGTGCACCACAACATTCCACAATGCACCTCAATGCTCCACAACACAACACACAGCAGTAGACCCCATAGATGAAGCCACACATGTACTATGTTTAAAGAGCTGTGAGCCAGCTACTTCCTCCAAGCCATAGAGTAAATCATTATGGGCCATGTGATTGCCAGTTCTTCACACAAGTGTCA